TAAATTTGGCATTTGGAGTTATGTAACACTGTGTGAGAATGGATTGTTGTCGTACCTTGAGTAATACAGTTTACAAAGTGTTTATTTTGGCAGATGCTCTTATGAAGCATCATGTGTAATAAGTGCAGCACAAGATAAGTCTTTCATAAATAACACTGAGCAATAAGGAAAGCAAATCATTTCTTTTTTCAAAATATTATTATTATATGTTCAATGAAAATAAGTATACTTAAAGTATTTTGTTTCACTTGTGTGTGTTAAGAGATGAATGTAAAAATGTTGGAGATTGCACATAAAATGTAATGCGTTTATTTGAAGAGTCATCTTGTTTCTGTCTCTTTTCTCCATGTAGCTTTAATCGTCTGGACCTCCCTCCTTACAAGAGCTATGAGCAGCTGAAGGAGAAGCTCATGTTCGCCATAGAAGAGACAGAAGGTTTTGGGCAGGAGTAATGCAACAAGAGCAGAAGCTGCAGGATGAGAGGAGGAGTGTGGGCTTGGACGAGCCATATTCATTTCAGACAAGCACTTTTCAACATATTCCTCTTGCAGCCTGGTGCTGCTCATGAACTGGTAGAAGGACATACAAATCTTTATTTTCTGTCACATTATCATATGCAGTAACAACTGTTTTTATCCTGCTTCGTCATTAATTAATTTATCCCACAAGAGACCTGTGAATCCCCCTCACCCTGTTTTGCATTTCACCTAAATGATCAGTTCCACCCTAATTCAGCAGAAATCAGTTCGCCCTGCACAGCCCACTATCAGGCGATGGAGACAATAGAGACGCCTCTCTCACCCTGTCATGTCTGCACTTGCTCTATGTTGCGTAAGTGCAGTTTCTACACGCACATCTGCAAATCTGTGCAGTAGTTACTTAAGAGCCGCCTTGTCGGGTCTATGCACTAGAATTAATAATTTTAGAGGAAGGAACCATATTTGTGCGTTTTGAATTCAAATAAAAAGCTTCATATCTAAAAGCAACATTAAAGGCACATATATGGTTTTGAGTCTTTCAGACTCAACTTTTATTTTAATTTTATTGAAAGGCTGCATGAATGGATGGGTGATTTATGTTTTTTTTTTTTTTAACAGCTGACTGGACTGACTCCCGTAGCACATATGCAGTTTCTTTAATAACTTTGATCAATATAATCATGCTAATTTCTTTTACTTTGACAGGTTGATTTCTTAACTTTATAATGAGGTGAAACTTTGAACTAGTTTGCACAGTTATGTGAGCAGTAAGACGGTTGTGATTGTTCTTAAGAGAGGTTGTATTTTTATGTGCAATAGTTTTGTAGAAAACATTTTTGCCAATAATAGAGCCAAACAGTGATTTGTTTGATCATTTTATAACACTTTGGTAAGTTTCAACATTTACTATTGATTTAAATTCTCTGTATGAAGTAGAGAACATTTGCACATTTGCAGGTGTATATGGTGAAACTGGTTTAGTTGTGCTTTGATTTGACAAACTTTGCCTTCCCTAAATGGTCCGCAAGGTATTGATTATCAGCCTATTTGACCAAGGAGGGTCACTTCCTTTACCAGTCAGGGAGGCTGAAAAGTCTTTTCTTGCTAATTATAAACTGTTACTAATGAAGTGGGAGTAGTAGGATGTGTTGTGTAATAGAGAACAATGATTTGTTGAATATTCCCACTGAATGGTAGCCAATTTTCTGGTAGATGTCCAGAATCAAGTATTATCCTAGATCAATAATGAAGATGCTCAGTCCTAACTGTTTGTGTAAAATGACTAATGAAGTTTATGTAAATACACTTACAAAGTAGAAAATGTGTTAAATATCAGTTAGTTCACCCAAGCAGTGGACCTCTTTGAGTTGCAGGCAGAAGTTGCTAATTAAGATTTTAATCGGTGTGATAGAAAGTGGCCCTAGTTTTATAGGGTGTTTGGTATTCAGATTTGTACAGTAGTATTTCATTCCTTTTGCAAAAATAACTCCGCTAACGTCAAAGTTTCTTTTTAGTATCAAGTATGTAGTATCACTTTAAGGAAATGACTATGGAACCAGTTTACCAAAGGATTATATTTAATTATTTTTTTGTAAACCATTTGACTTAAAAGTCTAAGTCACCAAGTGTAACCAGTTCTTAACATCCCCTCAATGACGACACATCTCACATCAGCGGTCACTATTAGCTGTCCTTTATTATATTAGTAGGTAACAAAAATGTAAACAAAATGGTAGCTCAGCTACTTCAATTTTAAATACCGAATTTGAACAAATTTCAATCTGTAAAGTGATATTTTTTTAATAACTAGTAACTGTCCAAGCATCAAGCTGTGTGTGTGTGTGTGTGTGTGTGTGTGTGTGTGTGTGTGTGTGTGTGTGTGTGTGTGTGTGTGTGTGTGTGTGTGTGTGTGTGTGTGTGTGTGTGTGTGTGTGTGTGTGTGTGTGTGAGATTCTGTATCCCAGATCATTGAAAATGTGTAATTACAAATTCAGTTTCAGCAACTACCCTTTAATTTCCCAGTACAATGTAAATGTTCCTCATGAATTAACCCATGTATGAACCTTTTGGCTGTATGTTCTTTCATAATGTCAATGCTGGTACTACAGGGAAAAAAATGCTGGTTGTTCTGGATTGCCTAAGCCCTCACTGACCTGACAGATCCTCAGACAATACCAGTTAATGCTCACTTTATATTCAATTGTGTCAGATATTTCTCATTATCTCACCTTTTTTTCCCCCAACCGGCAGTGATTCAATACAAACACATACACCTACGAAACAAAAACAAAGTGTGTATCTATCGGTGTGCAGACTTGTGAAGAGATTATTGTAAAAATCTAAAAAGAAAAAGAAAAGCAACCTTGATTTAAAAAAAAAAAAATAAAATAAAAAAAAAAGGTTTGTGATTAAAATGTTTACTGTTGAATATTTGAACAGATTACAACTTATAATATAGCACCTTGACACTCCAAACCGGTTGAATTAACCACTTCACTGTTTAATCTCTGCTGTGTTCCAGATCATGGGGCAGTTCAATGTGTAGAAATATGCAAAGTAGTGTTTTAGTTGTACTGATTGCATTGTAAATCATGTTGATAGTGTAATCACTGTTTTTCTTTTTCTTTGAGGCGCTAACTTTTGATAAGTGGAAGTCAATGGTTGAATACTATTTATTTGAAGGTTGGGTTTCATGTAACAATGGACTGGATAGATTGAGAAAAAAACAGTAATAAAATGATTAAAACACTGGGCTCCTGCAGGACACTTGTGAAGTGTTGATTATTATTATCATTACAACACATTTGTTTACAATGTCCCATACAGTTCATTAGTTTTCTTTGTATGTTTCTTCTGAATAAACATGAAGCAGTAATTGTTTTGCATATTGATTCCCTGACATAAAAAATACAAAAACTAAAACCAACTTAAACGTTTCCCTAAAGAATATTGCTGTTCCCTCCATCCTTAATTCCCTTATAATAATTATTAATTATAATTAAGAAATACAATTATCTTCACCTCAACAAGCTACAACAACAGAATGCTGCTTATACATTAATGAAACAGTAGTAATGATCTAACAATATACTGAAAGTGGCTGTTGCCTGCATAACTACTTCTACATTGATATTTTAAGTATATTTTACTGATAACACTTTTACCAAGTTAAGAATTCTTCAACCAAAGGGCTTTGTACTTACTGATGCTTTTTCTCCTGAAAGAAGAAAGATAAATTATGTCTTACAATGAGCAATGGGTGTTAATGAGGAGAATGTAGCAGAATACTGTGTGTGTGCTGCACCCCTAAATTATTGCCTCCCATTTTAAAAATCCTAAAATCTGTGCTACCTGGCTGTAACTTCTCTTGCAGGATATGATTAAAGGCTGGTCTTGTATTTCTTCTATTTCTTCTGAAAGGTGTTATAACACGTGTCTGCACTCTTAGACTGATACTCTCATATTATGTAATATGCAATAGCTAAATGACTAATGCAGTCACCAAAGTTACACATCAAAGTCTGATAAGTAGCTTTACCCCACCTTTAAGGTAATATATATTATAATGATATTCTCAAAATGCACATTTCTTCTTTTTTATCTTTGTACCAAAAACACCACAATGGTTCATTGTGCTTAGTTTGCATAGGATGTAGGCTCTAACTTAAGATAAGTGGAAGTCAGTGGTTGAATACTGGATAGATTTAGAAGAAAAACAATAATAAAATGATTAAAACTCTTATGAAACCATTATTAACACCACATCATTTTTTGTATTTGTTTATAATATCTTACGAATTGTATGTAAGATCAATTTTGGTTGTATGGTTCTTCTAAATAATCATAAGGCGGCTATTGTTTTACACATTTCTTAACATAAAAGAATATAAAAATAAAACTCCAGACATTTGGTAAATAGTTGTATGTGCCTCTTTGTTGCTACAATTTCTGGGTCTCCCTAAAGAATATTTAAGATTCATATTTAATCTAAAATATTTTAAGAATGACGACATGTGGTGCAAAGCAAAATAAGTGTAGTTTTAATTTAGTACATAATCATGTCTTACAATGAACACGGGTGTTGAGTGACTTGAGGAATGAAGCAGAATACTGTATATGTGTACGTCCTTAAATGATTCCATTTTAATCCTAAAATTTGTGCCACCTGACTGTGACTTTATGACTAAAGACTGCTCTTTAAAGGTGCTGTGTCTGCACTGTTCATGTGAGCCATCCTCTCTTATATTATGTAATATGCAATAGCTAAATGACTAATACAGTTACCAGAGTTACACACCAAAGATTGGCATGTAGATTTACCCCAACAGAAAAGTTATACTACAATAAAAAAATCCATTTTGCAGTCTCATATTGATGATGTTTTTCAATACGTTTAAATACAACAACAATAAAGAATATGTATACACCTATTTCTTTATTCTCAAAACACACATTTCACTGGTAAATAGGAACCGGACATAAAGCGCTGCACTACGGCGAATTGTCACTGTGGCACATCATTCAGGCTTGTGTGCAACATGTATTTGTGTCCTCTCGGCTCTGTTGAAAGTCATGGCGGGTCCTGACCTGATAAAAACTCTCCTGTATACCGTCAATAACCTCCTGCTGCAGGAGAAATATAAAGCTGCATTGGCGGTTTTAAAAGGATTCAGAAACGGCGCCGTGTGAGTGAAAACGTTCAATATAAACTGAGCTAACTAACGTTACACCGCTGGGAGCTAATCAGCTGTTTACTACAGCGCTATCTAGCTTTAGCTGCCTGTAAGGGAAGAAGTAGTGTTAGCAGTTTGTTGTTATCTAAAAGCACTCAGGATGTTTTTCACCTTCTCTTGAAGCCACATTACACTGACATGACACCGTGTGTTTATTTCTCAGATATGGGGCCAAAATCAGAGCACCACATGCCCTGGTAATGACATTTCTATTCAGAAGTGGCAGGTAAGACTCTGAATCTTTGAAGCACCTCGTTATTATAACACTCCCCATGCCTCTGAAGTATGAACACGTTGTTCTTTTCATCTGGTAGTTTGAAGGACAAGCTCAAAGCCATTTTGAAGGCCACATACACCCACTCCCGCAACCTGGCATGCTTTGTGTTCACATACAAAGGGCTGCAAGCCTTGCAGGAGAGGGTCCAGGGAAAGACTCTGCAGTCTCACTCCTTTCTCGCTGCCTGTGTTGGAGGATGGTTAGTGTTTGGAGACAACAACAACATCAATAGTCAGGTATGATACGCCCGTAGTCGTGAGCACATGATTTTAAATCTTTACATCATTATAACTTTTTTCCCCTCTCTCCTCTAGATCAACATGTACTTGCTGTCCAGGATCCTGTTCGCTCTTTCCCGGCTCGCTGTAGAGAAAGGGTTTATCCCCCAGCCTAAACACGACCCTTTCCCGCTCTTCGCCACGCTGGTGTGGGGCATTGTCTTGTGGCTGTTTGAATATTACCCACACACCCTGCAGCCCTCCCTGCAGTCCTCAATGAACTACCTCTACCACGACAGCAATGTGTGGCACGACATCTCAGACTTCCTTGTTTATAATAAGCCAAGGACTGCTGCTCAGAAATGAAGCCTTACGTTTTTTTTTCTCCAATACGGACCAGCCCTTATAATACAATGATTTCATTATTATTATTTTTTTTAATAATTATTGATATCAGAATAAATCTGATTCTGATTCTGATATTCCAAATAACATTGCCTTTTTAGATTTATAGATGAAAGTTTGTATCATAGTTTTTTTTAATTGTTTGATTCATTCTTATGTATTTTCTTGCAGCTGTCAAAGCTAATTTTGTTTGACACCAGATTTACACATGAAGAGATACACCAGTATATTTATATATCCAGTATGATTTTCCTGTTGATATTTGGGTGATTGTGCATTTGTCTGATTTTCATTTCCAAGAAACGTGTCAATAAACTACAAGTGCCACAGAATAAAAGACAAAACAGACTGAAATGCTGTCGTGAACCTGAGACAAAAATGTCAATATCAGCAACAGTGCTCATCCGCAGGGTTTTTCTATATAATGCACATTAATAAAAACTAACAGGGTAAAGCTTTTGATTTTTATGAGTTAGAACAAGAGCAGTTAGAGTGTATTGTGTAGTGTGCAGCAAAGCAAAGCAGTATGCAGGTTATGACCACTGCCTGAAGTATTCTGTTGTAATGAAACACAATGACTCCCATTGTGTCCGTCTGTTATTACTAATCTTTAAGACTCTGAGATCCTCTGCAGGACCTGGAAGTTTTTTTTCATCTACTAATGTTTATGTTTGTTTAAAACCCAAAGAGGTGTGCCAGTATTATATTATTTAATGAGTGCTGAATGAAAAATCCTGTTTCAGTCAAACCTGTTCACAGTATTTAAGGCAGGGTCAACTCTTCACCTAGCATAAAGGATTTATGTTGCCTTACAGTACAATATCAATCTGGAGTAGATACATAACGCAAATTGCATAATTTTACTATGATAGATGTTTAAACATTGGTTATTTAACCATGTTTCATATTTGCACATGACCCCTAATGTAGTTTTGTCGATTACAAGTGATGGAAAGTAACTAAGTGCATTTATTCAAGTTCTGTGCTTAAGTACCTTTAGTGTTTCTCTTTTATGCTACTTTCTGCTCCTCCCCCACTACACTTAAGAGAGCTATAGTTAGTAGTTATTGGCAGACTTATAACTTGCATATTTTATTAGCTTATAATATATGATTGAATGTTCACTAAACTAACCAATGAAATGAAATAACGTGTCCTGCCCAATATATAAGGTCCTGACCAACTATTTGACCTCTTCTTACACATTAATGCAAGAGTGATAATTAAATAATACACATACTAATATAGCACTCACAAAAAATAAATAAAAGGTTAAAGAGTCTGACAGATGTTGACATGAAGGACCTGCATTAGCACTTCTTCTTGCACTTGCTACCCATTGAAGAGCAACTGTACCATAATAAAAGAAGTGCAATAATACGGCAACAACACTTTCCAGCATTCACCAATTCATACACTGATAGCATGAATGGTTTATTTTACAGTTTTCTATATTTATACGATTAATGAGATGCCAGCTCAACGATATTTTGTGTGTGTACCCAAACTTTCATGTGTAAATAAGTATATTCAAAACAAACCAGACACTGAAAGACAAATAAAAAAGTATAAAGTCTAGAAAATGGTCATAATATAAAGTACAAACCAACATACACAAAAGTTTACTTTTGGTAGGTTGGGGGTTTAAACACAAAAATAAATAGTGTTTTATAGAATCAATACAAAATCGCAAAACAATATATCGTGATGCCAAACTCATTCTCGCCAAATAATGGTATAACAGCACAACATGTATATTAAAAAAGGCTTTGTGAGCTGTATGAACAGATAGTAGCCAGAACAGGTCTCATATCTGTGTTGCAAAAAACTGCACTACGTTGCAAGTGTTGACAACAGAATGCTCACTGGTCTTCTGTTGAAGTGGGTGAGTCGGATTACTCACGGCTTAATTTACGCATGAACCTGTAGCCTACCCCTGCAGCATAGTCAGTGAGGAGGGCTTGTACCATTTTGTGGCGTGTGTTTTCTTACGCATTACTGTTTACAGTACATTTTTTTTAAGGTACAGTCAACTCATTATCTAGCACAAATGATTTATGTTGCCTTACATTACAATATCAATCTGGAGTAGATACATAACACAAATTGCATCATTTTAATATGATCAGATGCTTAAACATTGATTATTTAACCATGTCTCATATTTGTACATGACCCTTATGTAGTTTTATAGATTGCAAGTGATGGAAAGTAATTAAGTGCATTCATTCAAATTAAGAGATTAATATTGTTCATTCAACTCAACTCCATACAGCTATAGTTAGTAGTTATTGGCAGACTTATAACTTGCATATTTGATTAGCTTATAATATATGATTTAATGTTGACTAAACTATCCAACAAAAAAATGAAATAACATGTGTCCTGACCAACTATCTGACCTCTGCTTACACATTAATGCAAGAGTGATAATTAAATAATACACATACTAATATAGCACTCTGAAAGGGGCCATTCAGCATTAATACTTTTACTTCTGTACTGATGTAAAACTTTGAAGCCATGACTTTTACTGAAGTGAAGGATGTAGTACTTCTTCAGCTATGTTTCCTTTTGTGAAGGAAGAAAGGTGGAGAAAGATAAAACTGCTGTTTGATTTATTATCTAATCACATTGTTAAGTTTCATAACGGGAACAGGTCAGTTTGAGCGTTGACTTGGAACTCGGAGAATATACCAGAAGGATGTAAATGAGTAATGTGTTCCCCCTCTTAATTTGGCACCTGTCAGCAAATGATAGCTCCGCTTACATCAGATATTAAGACTAAAAGTGTCCAGCCATGCTAGTGGTTCTGTAACACTGGATTCAGGCACACTGAAATGCTAACGGCACCTTTGCAGGTATTTAGTTATAAACCAATATTAAAATATTGACCTTATGATAGTGTTGGAGGAAAGGCTATGGGAGTTAGTTATAATAAGCTATAATAATTCACCCCAAGGGGAACATTAATATTTGTACCAAACTTAAAGGCAATCAATTATTGTGAATTTCCCACAACACCACAAACGTCAAACTCATGGTTACACTAAAGGAAAAGTCTGTGTTTCACCAGAGTCATTGCAATTCATCCCCTTGGATTCATGAATGTCTGTACCAAATCCTGTGCCAATCGGTGGACTGACAGTCTGACTTTGTTATTCATAGAGCAACGCAGCTAGCAGCTGAAAATCCTAAATTGTTCATTGTGCCAACTGATGGAAACTTTTCTTGCAGGGTATAGCCAAGGATTGGTCTTACGTTTCTTTATATTTAGTCTTTAAAAGGTATAATTAAGTATTACATTTAACTCAGACATAACACCAGATAGATACTTTAGTTATGACAGTATTCGTTCTCCAAGAATGCATCCCACACAAAGTACTGTACATACCCATCATTAAAGTGGCCTGCCACTCAAACATGAATTGCGCAATAAAGCTATTTTCACTGGGACACAATTCTAAACATAAATTGCAACACTAATTTGCTTAAAGCGAACTCCCACACTACTTTTCCGGGGCAGAAGTAACTGTGTCCCAGTGCAACACTGTCAAGGCTGCAGGCAGTGGAGTAAAAGGGCACACAGTACGTATTTTGTGTGTATGTATTTTTTAAACTCTGATATATCTAGCAGTGGTGGCCATTTTCATCTGCATGTTGTAACTGAGTCATTATTTTACTGATATAACGTTTTGCCTTGTAGGCTTGAGGGTGATCAGCATGGGGTAAATTCAATGTCTGTTCAATAAAATCTTAGTTTAGACTTGACAGTGTACATTATCTTTTGATATTCAAATCTGACTTTAAGGCCATAAGAGACACATAAAATAAGATAGACTTTATTGATCCCACCCTGCAGCTCTAGATACAACACAACATAAAAGATAAGAAAATACACAAAAAATAAAAATAAAATAGAAAAATACATGATATAATAAAAATAGAAAAAAAACAAAACAAAAACAAACAGTGCCACATGTTGCTGAGTTAAACAGTCAGATGGTGGAATTAAGGACTTTCTTGCACTTGCTACCCACTGAAGAACATCTGTACCATGGTAAAAGATCTGCAATAATACGGCAACAACACTTTCCAGCATTCATCAATTCATACACTGATAGCATGAATGGTTTATTTTACAGTTTTCTATATTTATACAATTAATGAGATGCCAGCTCAATGATATTTTTTGTGTGTACTCAAACTTTAATGTGTAAATGAATATATTCAAAACAAACCAGACACTGAAAGCCAAATACAAAAGTATAAAGTCTAGAAAATGCTCATAATATAAAGAACAAACCACTATATGCAGAAAATCTGAGTTTAAAAAAAAGTTTACTTTTGGTAAGTTGGGGGTTTAAACACAAAATAAATAGTGTTTTATAGAATCAACTAAATATATTGTGATACCAAACTCATTCTTGCCAAATAATGGTATAACAGCACAACATGTATATTAAAAAAGGCTTTGTGAGCTGTATGAACAGATAGTAGCCAGAACAGGTCTCATATCTGTGTTGCAAGTGTTGACAACAGAATGCTCACTGGTCTTCTGTTGAAGTGGGTGAGTCGGATTACTCACGGCTTAATTTACGCATGAAACTGCTGCCTGCACCTGCAGCATAGTCAGTGAGGAGGGCTTGTACCATTTTGTGGCATGTTTTTCTTACGCATGATTTAAGGGCCTTGGTAACTATTGAGGTAAACCGGTTCACTTTCTCACAACCACCCGCTAGATGCTTTCAGAGGGTGGGGCAAAGCTTTATAAAGCTGTAGAGGGTGATAGTAGAGTCATATTGCATCGCAGTGAGAAAGAGAGACACTAACAAATGGAAGGTGAGATTTGTCTCCAGAGATGCATGCTCTTTTTTTCTGCTCTTTTTCTTTGCCTATAGGGTGAATATTGAGTGCCATCTAACTGTTGAATGCATTTTTCTGTAGCAATTGCTTTAACTTTTTTTCTCTGGATTTGTAGACTTAACAATACAGCATGTCAACCTGGAGAAATCTGAAAACCTGGAGAGACACAGGACAGATGGGTTCAGCAGCTCCAAAGCCCTGGTGGTTCGAAGAGGAACCCCATTCAGAGTCAGTGTGCAGCTGCAGGGCCGACCCTTCAACCCCAAGACTGACTCTCTGAGGATCAAAGTTATGCTAGGTAGACTAGATTTAGATTTAGTCAAGATTGATTTGGATGGATAACTGTTTGGGAGCAGACTTTTGTATGCAACCAATCTGAACCTGAATTTAAGTCTCGTCTCTCCTCAGGCCATCTGTATGTGATAATGCCGGTCACTTTCTCCAAGAAGGTTTCTTCCTCCCATTGGAAAGCCTCTATGGACCCAGAGGGCCTGAACCTCCAGAACCCCTCCATATTCATCTCTTCTCCCGCTTCCGCCTCGGTGGGCTGCTACAGATTTCAGCTGAGTGTGTTCACTCAGGACAGCCAGAAGACTGCCTTTGGCAAATTCATCCTGCTCTGTAATCCCTGGTGTAGTGGTGAGTACAAGTCAACCCAGTGAATTGATCACAAGCTTTTAGGAAGTTCATGCAAAGTTGTGCAGACTCGGAAGCCTTTGCTAGCTCATAAAGTTACAGCAGCAGTGTGTTAACCAAACCACTAATGTACTCATATATATGGTTTGTGTGGCTGATTGAGCTCATGATGATGTATTGTATTCATTCATCAACTTTAATCACTTATTAGCTCCTTTTACTGGAGTCTGATTGCTACAGTACAGTGGTGATGTGCTTTGCGACTGCCTTTGTCAATCATGAGGTAAGGATTCATCATAGCAAATGTCTGGCACGAGCTTTGTACGATAGAGGGAAATTTTTTTAAATGAACATTGAAGCTGAAGTCTTGTATAAAGCAGTATATTTCAATATACACTGGTATGTACTAAATATAAGGCTTATTTCTCGCAGAGGACACAGTGTACATTCCCTTTGAGGACCAGAGAGAGGAGTACGTCCAAAACGACTCTGGGTTGCTGTTTATGGGGACTGCTATGAACCTTGTGGCAAGACCGTGGTCCTTTGATCAGGTATGAAAACAATATCTAATGATCAGAAGTTGTGCAAATGTTCAGTGAGAATAATATTATCAGGTTATTTACAGAAGAGGCTCTGACTCAACTGGGGCTTAATGTAAAACAGTGTACAAAGACATTCTTTGTACGCTGTTTTACATTAAGCCCCATAAATGAAGTGTTCATTGTGGTGCTGTTGTATTGGATTGTATTTCATTGTCAAGTATTGCTTGTGTCCACTCGCAGTTTTTACTTTTAATCCTCAAATTGGATTATAAGACACCAACTGAAAAAAATGAAAAAAAAAATATTAAAAGGGGGAAAACAGAGGGAATTAATCAGGGGAAAAATTATAATGGATGATTTAGTAGAGGTAAAACAGCAAATAGTATCTGCGTAGTTAATAGTTTAGGATTAAGCTTAATCCTAAAACCTGACCAAGCAAGTCAAGAATGTATTTATTATGCTTCAAATGTCATGAACTGTTAATTTAATTCTGTCATTTCTTTCTCTTTACCTGTAAAGTATGAGCCTTGTGTTTTGGAGACATGCCTGAATTTGCTCCAAGTCAGCCCTCATCACCAAAAGAACAGAAGAATAGACTACCTGAACCGAAACAACCCTGTCTACATCAGCCGGGTCGTGTCTGCCATGGTGAGTGCGATTCAGATTCAGAGTAAAAACTTATAAACTTCAAGATATGAATAAATCACTTACTACCAGTGTTCTGTTTCACCAATTTTTTTATTTACTTTTGCTGACAACATGAGTGTCACAGCTGCTTATTAAAAACATAAAGCAAAGATAAACACATGCCTCCTGCAAAGTTCTGAACATGTTAACGTCACATGCAGAAACACTGTAATTATTGCAGTAAAACGGTCATTTAAAGTAGTTATTAAATTGTCACTGTGAATCAGAATAATCTCGGAAGATGTGACATGCCCGAGCTTGCTTTATGATCTTTGGGAACTGACATTTTCATCTTCTCTTTAATGTTTAGATCAACAGTGAAGATGACCGTGGAGTGCTGAAAGGAAACTGGTCAGGTGACTTCAAACAAGGAATTAATCCCGCCAAGTGGACTGGGAGCGGGGACATCTTGAGACAGTGGGCTCAGTCCGGCTACAGCCCGGTCAAGTACGGACAGTGCTGGGTGTTTGCAGCTGTCATGTGCACAGGTGATTATATCATGATCATTCAGAAATTAAATCACTTACAAGAAATATCAGTCAAGCACTCTTTCTGTGTTCTATCATTTTTGTTAAATAACAAGTACTACACCTTTAAAGTATGGCGTCATGTTTGATGTCTTATCAGTCTTGTTCTCATAGCGAATCATTTGTTCCATGACGCAATGTTCTGATATTTTCATTGGCATGTAAACATCTGTGTCTGTGTTTTAATTATGTCTTTCAGTCATGAGAGTTTTAGGCATTCCTTGCCGTGTTGTCACAAACTTCAACTCTGCTCACGACACCAATGCGAACCTGGTGATTGAGGAGTACTACAGTGAAACAGGGCAGAAGCTGAACCACAGCAAGGACAGCATATGGTAAGTAGTGATTTAACTTGTTTTATTGTGCTTTTCAGAGCCACAGACATTGATGACATTTATTTAGTTTTGAGAAAAATTCATTCATGCTTTCTAATATTTTATTTTGGCTGTTCTAAACAGGAACTTCCATGTCTGGGTGGAGTGCTGGATGACTCGCCGGGATCTGGGACTTGGAATGGATGGCTGGCAGGTTCTGGACCCGACCCCACAGGAGAGGAGTGGAGGTGTGTGAGAAACTTTGTTGCTCCTGTTGTGAAACTTTTCTGGGGTCACCTCTGAACGTGTTTTCTTGAATAAACATTACTTTAATCATCTTTTCTCCCTTCTTTTATCCTAGGAGTGTTCTGCTGTGGCCCGGCCCCAGTCAAAGCAATCAAGGATCGGCGTATTGACATGTTTTATGACATTCCCTTTGTTTACGCCGAGGTGAACGCCGACGTCCACACAATTGTAGTAAGCAAGGGAGGGGTGCTCAGCTACAGCAAAGACACAGAGAGAGTGGGGTCCCTCATCTGCACCAAAGCTGTTGGCTTCTCCATCCACCAGAACATCACTGGAGACTACAAATACATCAAAAGTATGAACCAAAAACAGAAAATACATTGATGAAGTGACATAATGTTGACATTGTTGACATCTAAGGCGTTAATAGTTACTCACATTTTTCTTTTGATCTTTACAATATAGGCCCAACTTCAACACTTACATCAAGAAGTTCCACAGTGTCAGAAGACTCAACATTGAAGAGAGGTAATTTAGAATTTTGAATACATTAATAAGACTCATAATCTGTTTAAACACACGCCATCTCATGCTCTGGTTCTCTTCATGGTATTTCAGCAAGCTCATCCAAGGGGGTGTTAGTCTTCCTGAACCTGGATAAAGCTCCTGTTGCTGGGGAGGCTATCCGCTTCACGGTGAAAGTCATCAACAAGCACAGTATTGCCAAGATGATCAAGGTGCATATGAACGCGCAGGCTAAAGAATACAACCACAGCCCCTCGGACACCTTCTGGGAAACCCAAGGTGTCATACAACTGGCACCCAAGGAGGGTAAATACACTTTGAGCTCATCTACAATCTCACATTTTCCCTTCTGAAGGACTGTGGTTTAAATGTGTGCGTCTCTTCAGCCAAGGTCATTCAGCAGCAGATCCTCCCAGCCCAGTATGAGGATGTGGTGGGAGATGACTTGATCAACCTTGCTGTTGTCCTGGAGGACACAGCCAGTCAGGATCGTGTCCTGGCCTCAGAAGAGTTCAATATCACCAGCCCACAGCTCATCATACAGGTACTAGAGTCATTCTGATTGTTACTTACTAATAGTTCAGATTGCAAAGTCACCTCTTTGAAGGATTAGGGAAATAAAAAGTAGGCATTAAGCTAGATTTAGGAGTAATTACCTCCCAACCGGCTGAAATAACAGCTAAACAAATAAATTAAAATGATTCAAACTGACAAGAGCTGTAGGAAACATACCGAATGTATTGTCATGGCTTCACTTTAAAGTTATTTCAAAGGTAATTTAAAGGAATTGTCAGCGTTCACTAACACAAATTCCTCTTCCAGATTGCGGATGAAGACTCCATTGTGCCTAACAAAGAGCACACTGCCAAAGTGATCTTCACCAACCCATTTTCACACCCGGTGAGTGGAGTACTGACTGTAGCTGGAGCCGGACTGATCCAGGGCAAGATTCACTTTAGGTAAGGATCTCTTCATTGTTTATGTACGTGTTGATTGTTTAATGTCATAGGCGCCTCTGTGATTAATGGGTATCATGAATGGCTGCTAAATGAATGGGTGGAAATATAGGTGTGTCACTGTACAGTGCCTCACAGTACAGTGTGTATTTATTGAAGGAATGTGGGCTTGTTACACTTGTATTGTTCTGCTTATGTTTGTGTTCAGTGTTTTGGCAGGTGTGGCAAGGTAATACACCAAATGTTCCAGTACTAGGTGCCAATCAGGGATAGTAATTATTTGTGCTGAACTATAACCTTACGAGCTTAGCTATCAGAAAACAAATTGGTCTGTTGCAATTTTCAGATGAAAGCAGGTCACAGAGCACAGTACTTTTTGACAGAGCAGCCAGTGTCAGCGGTTGAGTAGTAGTTGCACTTCAGCATTTTCTGAACTCTTTTTATACCTTGTGTCTTCCTGCAGGATGCTCCAACTGCGTCCAGGAGGAAGAGTGCAGCAGAACATCACCTTCGTCCCCAGCATGGTGGGAACAAAGATGCTGCAGGCCAATCTGTCACTCACCAACTCCACAATCCGAGGCTTCAAGATGGTCTCTGTCAACAGAGCCTAGATCTGTTTTTTGTGCTTTTTCCCTTCCACTGGACACAATATTTACACTACTGATATAAATGTGAATGTAAATTATTATTATTATTTATTTATTTTGCTATTTATGTGTATGAGCCATGAAAATTACCACTGCTACGTGAAAATCTGCAATTTACTTGAAATTGAAAAGCTGCAACAAATAACTTTTAATGCATTATTGTGCTTTTTGCTTTGTTTGAAAAATAAAATGTATTGAAATATACAGTATGGCACATTTCTTCTGATGGTTAAATATGTGTGGATATATGCTATTGCAGTTCTTTTTCTGCCCTGAAGAGGGAGACCTTTCCTCAAAAAGGTCACTTCAGTCTGCATGAAATCTCAAACCCTTTTGAAAAATTACATGTAATTCACAGGAGAATCATTCGTCATTTACTTATTAGTAATTTAATCCGTCTTGCTTCATAGGCCTCTGGGTTGAGTAACTGTGAAATGAAATGAATCGCGACTCACCTTTCCCCACAATGCAATTAATTTATCTTTATTAATCTATTTTAACTGTCTGTCAAAACAAATAAAGCATTATATACAAATCATAGCTAAGCTGACAGGCAGTGTAATCAGCACATGCACAACCATAACAGTTCATCTATATTACAAACAGGTTATTAGGAAATGAAACAAGGACAGAAAAGAAGGAGAGTTAAAACATGACAACATTTACAACCCAGAATCAAAAGTAAGGATTTGAGCACCAGCCTATAATACAGCATCTTTAAGACATCTTCTTATTAAAACATTTTTACAAGAGCATATTTTTGGTCTTTGAAGGGAAGATTTTCTTATGCTGAGCTCCCAAACTTGTTTATACCTCATTGTGTTGTGAATTTAACTAATAATAAATAGCTCACATTTTAATGGTAAAATACAATCAGGCTATTTTCAATAGCCTCTACCTATGAGGAGAATATTACCTGACATTTATCTAGCCAACATATGAATATAACAATTCTAAAATGATCGTGAAGGAAAACTCTATTCCACATAACATCACAACTTTAAGTCTTTGAGTTTTTGATTTTGTCTTTAAAATAGTATTGGTCAGTGTAAAATGGGTTTAGTCTCACAACAAATAAAAAAGACACAGCAGAACAAACAATTTAACAACAATCTGACCTTTCATCCATGCAGACATACTCACTGTGTTCAATAATCAGGATGTAAAAGTTTGCATTCAGTGCATCACTTTTTTGTGTACAAAAGTGGGACACTTTCCATAAAGTTGAGATGAACTGAATTTAAAAAAAAAGGAAAAGGTTTTTAAAAAAGTATTTGCAGTATTAACCGTAGTTCCCTGGGGTTAGTTATGAAGCTTTGGTCCCTTATTTTACTTTGGTCTTTAATTTTGGTCCAGCACTTTTGGCTTCATGTTTAGGTGTCATAGATATACTGCAGCCTCGCTTCGAAATCCTCACAGTTCCTTTGGCTTCGGTGTAAAATTGTCCGCCTGGGTGCTCATTAGGGATGAAATGCCTCGTGCCAAACCTTGAAATAGCAACACTAACTCTGAATCAGTCTCTAGGTTGCACCTTAACCTACTAGCTGCACTCAGGAGTTCAGGAGCGTCTCATGATTTGGGTGGAAGAGCAGAAGTGTGACAGCTGGCGCCCTCTAGAGGTAGTCCAGCTCCAGTGCATGGCTCAAAGCCTCCAGATCGGCCCGACAGGAGACCCTCCAGAACGGCATGTTCTTCTGAGAAAACAAACATAAAATAATTAATAATAATAATAATAATAATAATAATAATAATAATAATAATAATAATAATTTAATGTAGAACATACAAACTTAGGGCAGGCATACTTTAGTAACTTACAATGCTCCTACAGATGCAATGCAGATGTGAAATATAGACTGTGGTTTGGAGGGGGATTGTAGTATGTGACAAAGTGCATGTGGATAATATTTTTGGTCTATAATGTACCAAAGAATAATGCAAAAAAAAAAAATTTGCTGAACTGCCAAATCCAGGAAAAATTTGGTGGTTTCAAATGCAAAGATCATACAAACAAACGCAGACACAGAAGCTGTAGAAATGGAGTGTGTCTTGAGGTGAACTAATTAGTTGAGGCCCATTATTCAGCAGTCAGAGTCATAAAAATAACAAAGAATAAGTTATACCTTCTTGGCCACGGCCTCTTCTTCGGCTCCATCTCCTATCACCACATACACTGCTCTCCGACCAAACCTCTGAGAGACACGCTCAAAACAGCTCTCTTTGCCTTTGACAAGAGGGAAAATCAGATTTTGAAATATTAAAACTGTACACTTAAACAAAGTTACAAGCATTGGAAATGGAAGAGGACATTTTTGATTAATCATTATTAGCTTTTTTCTCCCTTCTTCCCTAAATGTACCTCACCTGTCTTAGTGGCACTGTATATGTTCTCTATGGGGAAGGCTGAGCCCAAACCGTACAGTAACACTTTGGAGAGGGCTGGGATGAGCTGGGTGGTGGTTACCAACACATTCACACAGTTAGGTCTGGAACAGGACAGGACAGACACATGAATACTACGGTTAAGTCATGCCATCTTAAATGCTATATCAGGAACTAACATTCAACACATAATGGCATATGGACAAAAATCATCAAAATCAGGCTGTGGTAGCATTAACAGACCTGGAGTTGATGAGAGCCAGGGCTTTGAGTGCTTGAGTCAGCCACAGGTCAGTCAGGACCTCCATCTCTCTCCTCAGCTGTAACCACTCCTCTCGCTTGGGGCTAGCCAGCAAACCTGCCCATCGGGGAGAAGCACAAACTTGCTGGTCAGTCTTTTCAACAACAACAGGAAGGACATGAACCCTGATATATCCAGTACATAAAAGATCTCATTTAGTGAAATGTTGCAAAATCTTATTTTGACATCAGGACTGTCTGCAGTCCTTTGTTGGAAAATTCTCACACAACATCCTCTAGCCAAAACCTCAGACACATGGTTTCCAGCACAGTTAAAGCAGCCAGCTGTTATCAGCGGTGCATCAAGGGTCCACACTGAACAACAACTTCTGACTCATTATCTTAGTTGACAAATAAACCAGTTGCCTTCCTTTCATCACACCACACGTAATACATAAGTAATGAACCATATTTCTAACAAAGATTCTTCTGGGAAAGAGCAGGTGTTTATCGTCATATTCTCACCACATTTTTATCACTAACGGAGATTTGGCTGTGCAAACTAGAGTTCCAAAAATACAAAATGCACTTATAATGTGATACAAGCAAAAACAAAGACAAGACCCGGACAAACCACTGTGGTCTGTTACTTATTTTCTGTCATTATTTGTTCTAATTTCATTGCTAGAAAACCACATATAACCCTTTATCAAACCTCAGAGAAAATAAGATAATCTAAATATCTAGGTTGCCTGTACACAGCAGTGTTAAATAAAATGAGAGCGAAGCTTACCTCCAACATTATTCTTGTATGTGTTGTAGATCTCCTTGACTCTGCGGTATCGGAAAGCTAGTTTCCTCATCCAGTCCACCCCTCCGTGGACCCCTGACCCTAGGCACAGAGAGCTGGCCCCTGCTGGGCTCTGGAAGCCATCTGACCCAAAGTTGTAAGTGCTGTAGGATCACAATACAGGAAATAGTCAGGATATAGATCATAAAGACACAAACTGCATTTTTCCAGAGCATTTTATCGTAGCCCTATTATCACTATTTCAAAGAGGATGCTCCAAGAATTGGTACAACTATATTCATGGATACAGTTTCTAGCTCTAGGAATTGATTCAAACTATTCAGGTTATGAACAAGAAGGCAGAGCTTAAACCATTCATCAAATTTAGGGAGGTGTGCCAGTGCAACCACAAAAATTTCAGGGACAAGAAACATAGACTTGTAGACACTGACTTTTAGCCGTGAGTGAAGCTTTGTCAGTAAGAAGTATATACATTCAGCATGGCTAGGATGAATATAAAACCATCTTTGAGGATGAAACAGGCCAAGTTCAATAAAATAAATACTTCAAAAAAGTACTTTGGTACAGTCTGGCTTTTTCTCAAATCACTCCTAAAAGTATCCTAAAGTGCCTCAACAAGTTTATACAATAAAATGTCTGGACTGAGGGAGACAGAGGGAATGATAAAGAGATATTTTGATGAGAAATGAAAGTGTTGGATAATCCTGTGACATATTATATGGCTGTGGAAGTCGGGAAAATAAAAGACATGCACATGCTTGCATGCATGAACACACACAGAGACACAACGACACACACAGTCTTCATCTCATCTCGTGCTTTTTTTTCCTCCTGTGCATTAAAACCTAGAGGGCAAGTCTGGTTCACAAGCCACAGCAGAACTGTCAGAGTCTCAGTAACTCAGTAATACAGTAACAGTAACACAGTAGAAGCTTTACCTCAGGTCCTGTCCGTTGTCGTCTGATGCCACGTCATCAATATGAACCTGGTCACATTCCTGGGAAATGAAAAGGAGTACGGATATATCAAGAGATCCATTTCAGAGTGGAGCCTTGTACGGGCAAGTTTCTCCTCTTTAGGAGAGCCTGTGGGAGTGATAGCAGCTACAGAAATAAAAAAAGAGCTAAAAAAAAGACACAGAAGGAGGAAATAAGGTGTCGGGACGTGGGACAGCAAGGCGCCGGAGATACAGGACAGTCAACGTAGCTGTGCAATTCTAGTAAATTCAAATAAAGTGAATCTGTATTTTTTTTATGGTGCGTCCAACATTTTGGTTAAAAAATAAAGAAAGGCCCATTGTCTTCAACAAGCACGTGGTGTGCACGTTGTTCCTCTCTATTGGACGTTAATGCAACCAACCAAACCGCAGGGATTAAAACCACACTGTAACTTAAATGTGGCTACAGCCAAAACACCTTCAGCCATATGCAGTTAAATCAGAAACTTAAAAACAGTTATTAAGATTGGATGTGTAGGACAAAAACAAAAACAAGGAGCATGAATCCATCATCATAGGCCAGGAGACAAGTGTGTCTAACAATAACTGTCTCCTAAAAAGAATTCCTAAACTCTCTTGTTTCATTGTCTTTTTCCCCCACAACCTTCTTTCTTTCACACACACATAAACACACACACGCACACACACAACCATGCACACATATGTGCAAAGTCCTAGAATATCGTCTAGTTGTCACGCAGTGACCCAGGACAGACAGGGTCTCCTATCGCCTTTCAGCCATCTTGAGCCAGATGGAGACGCTACCTCATCTTC